GAGAAACTACTCTTTATGGTCCCTGAAACTATTCACAACAACAGACAAAAAGCACATAATTATAGTGGGATAGAATACATCTTCAACATTACTAATATTTACTTCTAGACTCAGTGGGCATCTACTTATTCATTCAAGAAATACATATAAATCATTATTTTAATGCATAAAAAATAAAGCCCTTTGTAAACCCAAAAGAGTCATTCTATATTATAAAAGGATAACTTAACATTCAATTTTAGAGTTAGAATTCTGGTGCAATACTGAAATAAGATACTTATAAGAAGATATTCCTGGGACTAACAGTTACTTATTGACATTTGTCCCCAGTATCTCTTGCTAACTGTTATGGGCATTTACATATAAAGTAAGAGCTGGTGGGAAGAAAATATATGTATACCTCTTTAAAGCAACAGTATGAAAATCCACAAAAGAATAATTCACAAACCAAAATCCAAGGAGGCAGAAAGAAAGGGAGGAAAGTTATTTTTTGCTTCCCCTGAGCAAACATGTAATTTCCATGATTTCTTTTTAATGACTGCAGTCTGCGGCCAGTAGGTACTGATTTATGAAAAGCTGTAAAAGATCAGGTGGAACTCAGCAGGACATCGTTTACAGCTGCACGGATTGAAACCTATCTAATTTGTCTAGTAAAAGTGTGAGCTCACAGTGCACATCACCCAGCCTATAAATTTCCCCTTCAGACCCAATGTCTGGGGCTAGGTCTAAAAAAACGCCAATGCCTGCAGCTGCTCAAAAAGCCTACATTCCCCTGGTGCGCATGAAGAGACATCACAGGCTCTTCACAGTGAGAGACAAATTCCTATCCATTGATAAACTCTCCAGATGTCCTCTCCGAGGAGGAAGAGAACCAATTTTTATTTGAATTCCCCAGAGAAATCCTGGAAGTGGAAAAATGATACTTTGCAGGGCTGGTTATTCTGAGGTCACTGGTATTAAAATTAGGTCATTCTTTGTCTTCCTTATACTTTGATCCAAGTAATAAACAGAAAGACTCGGTTGGGGTCACTCTAATCCCTAATCCGCCTGTCCTGTTTTATTTCAATTTGTTTGTACTAATTTTTTCCAAATTCTTGTTGAGTCCGACTATATTGTTGAGTTTAAAAATACAAACCATTTGAATTGAAAAAGAAAAATTCTGCATTTTGCTATTAGGCACACTTCATAAATATTCTGAATAAATGTCCTGGGGTTTGATTCTTCATACCCACAAGCTCATAAATAAAAAAGGACTGCTATTCATGGGACCAAGAGTCAACAAGAGTCAACATTAGATTAGTCTGTGCTTCAGCTACTGTAGAAATCCAAGCTCTAGGGTGTGAGTGTATGTAAGTGTGCATGCATACCTGTAGATAGTCCAATATTTTATTATCTCCTTTCTAGGTCTCACTTCATTTTTCTTAGAAAATTTCCTCACACCTGATTTAATGCTACACCTATCAATTTTGTTTACTGATTCTAAGTCTTATCCAACGGGTATAATATTATATCCAATGTTGGCCAGTGACCAAGGATTATTCATTCATGATGGTCATGCAAAACCACCCAAGAATATTGTGCATGTTTTGGAACCTGGCTTGTGTATCTATTTCTGTAATTTCTCAAATTATTAGGAAAATAGAACACAAGCAAGAAATTTCAATGATTTAAAAATGAATTATTTTTCAGATTAGTAATTTAAAGAATCATAGAAAATTATTTATGCATAAGTTCCAAAAGAGAATAACTTATAAAATGCCATATTTATATTTTGTGATGTTCTAGATATTCCTAAAGGAAAGATAATACTTTGTAAAATAATGCTTAATTTCTCATTCTCTCTTTTAGATGACCTGTGAGGGTTAGTTAAAACTAAACTGTAACACAGCAAACACAAATTACAAACTCCATAACTTTAATTTGGCTTTCCTGATAGCTCAGTTGGTAAAGGATCCGCCTGCAATTCAGGCGACCTCTGTTTGATTCCTGGGTTGGGAAGCTCCGCTGGAGAAGGGATAGGCTACCTACTCCAGTATTCTTGGGCTGCCCTGGTGGCTTAGACGGTAAAGAATCCACCTGCAATGTGGGAGACCTGGGTCCAATCCCTGGGTTGGGAAGATCCCCTGGAGAAGGGAATGGCTACCCACTCCAGTATTGTGGCCTAGAAAATAGGGACATAGCATCAGTGTCTAACTAACATAAAGATTAAAGTCCTTCATATCTGTGTATTATGCTTAGTCTATGCCAGTATAGTCTCTGGCATATTGCTAGTGTTCATAATTGTTCAACATAATCCTTATGGCTATTATTATTGTTCATCTCAAAGCAAAGGCCTTCATAACTACTATTTGCTCAAGCACCCATACTAAGAGGAAAGAATAAAGAGAAACACAGTCAAGTGTCTACCTGGTAACTAGTCCCAGTCTTATGAGTCACAGGACAATTAAAGAGATCACTGAAAGCTGAAAAAACAACCCAAAGGCAGTTTACCAATAGAATGCTTCTCTTGGATCCTCAGAGAAGAAAACATACTTTCCTCCATTTCTTTTTTATCCCTGTTGTTCTTTGAGTCACCAGATCTTGTAGTTTGTCATAGACCTGTAGTCAGATCTGTAATTATATGTCAGTCCTAATGGTATGGACCTAATAGAAGCAGAAGATATTAACAAGAGGTGGCAAGAATACACAGAAGAACTATACAAAAAAGATCTTCATGACCCAGATAACCACGATGGTGTGATCACTCACCTAGAGCCAGACATCCTGTAATGTGAAGTCAAGTGGGCCTTAGGAAGCATCACTATGAACAAAGCTAGTGGAGGTGATGGAATTCCAGCTGAGCTATTTCAAATCCTCAAAGACAATACTGTGCAAGTGCTGCACTCCATATGACAGCAAATTTGGAAAACTCAGCAGTGGCCACAGGACTGGAAAAGGTCAGTTTTCATTCCAATCCCCAAAAAAGGCAATGCAAAAGAATGTTCAAACTACCCCACAATTGCACTTATCTCACATGCTAGCAAAGTAGTGGTCAAAATTCTCTAAGCCAGGCTTCAACAGTACGTGAACTGTGACCTTCCAGATGTTCAAGCTGGATGTAGAAAAGGCAGAGGAACCAGAGATCAAATTGCCAATATTTGCTGGATCATCGAAAAAGCAGGAGAGTTCCAGGAAAACATCTACTTCTGCCTTATTGACTACACCAAAGCCTTTGACTGTGGATCACAATAAACTGTGGAAAATTCTTCAATAGATGGGAATACCAGACACCTGACATGCCATCTGAGAAACCTGTATGCAGGTCAAGAAGAAACAGTTAGAACCGGACATGGAACAACAGACTGGTTCCAAATCGGGAAAGAGTACGTCAAGGCTGTATATTGTCACCCTGCTTATTTAACTTATATGCAGAGGATATCAAATGAACTGCCAGGCTGGATGAAGCACAAGCTGGAATCAAGATTGCCAGGAGAAATATCAATAACCTCAGATATGCAGATGACACCACCCTTCTGGCAGAAATTGAAGAATAACTAAAGAGCCTCCTAATGAAAGTGCAAGAGGAGAGTGAAGAAGCTGGCTTAAAACTCAACATCCAGAAAACTAAGATCGTGGCATCCAGTCCCATCGTTTCATGGTAGAAGGGAAAGCAATAGAAACAGTGACAGATTTTATTTTTTGGGCTCTAAAATCACTGCAGATGGTGACTGCCGCCATGAAATTAAAAGACGCTTGCTCCTTGGAAGAAAAGCTATGACCAACTAGACGGCATATTAAAAAGCAGAGACATTACTTTACCAACAAAGGTCCATCTAGTCAAAGCTATGGTTTTTCCAGTAGTCATGTATGGCGGTGAAAGTTGAACTATAAAGAAAGCTGAGCACCAAAGAACTGATGCTTTTGAATTGTGGTGTTGGAGAAGACTCTTAAGAGTCCCTTGGACTGCAAGGAGATCCAACCAGTCAATCTTAAAGGAAATCAGTCCTGAATATTCATTGGAAGGACTGATGCTGAAGCTGAAACTCCAAAACTTTGGCCACCTTACGCGAAGAACTGACTAATTGGAAAAGACCCTGGTGCTGGGAAAGATTGAAGGTGGGAGGAGAAGGTCAAGAGGATGAGAAGGAGAGGATGAGATGTTTGGATGGCAACACTGGCTCGATGGACATGAGTTTGAGTAAGCTCCGATGGCAATGGACAGGGAGGCCTGTCGTGCTGCAGTCCATGGGGTCACAAAGAGTCAGACATGACTGAATGATTGAACTGAAAAATTTCTGTTAATTGCTGACTATATTTTGCAATAAGAATCATAGTCACAATGTCTATCTATCATCTATCTTTGTGTGTGTGTGTATATATATATATATATATTTATATTGTATTATATTTGGTGTTGTCCTAGTTGTTAGACTTTCACTTATTGTTACTCATCTAGTGTGTTCTATTTCTTTTTAATTTTTTATTTTTAATGACATAGTGACATTAAATCCATGCCAACTTTACATCCTTATGTAAATATAGTCTACATTGTTCAAATTTTCCCTTAGAAAGCAACCTGTACAATGTCTGCAGATGAACATTCAGTAGGCAGAATTTAATATTGGAAACAAATCCATCCACCAAAGCAGACAACAGAGTGTTCAGAATGCCATGTCAGCTATAACTGCAGCCTAAATTACCACCATCTTTGCTAATGGATAAACAAATTAAATTATAGAAGTATGTATGGATATATTTATGCTTTTCACAGGCAAAGTTTCAGTAATTTAAAAAGCAGTCATGAGTAGAGAAGGGGAGCACTGAGACAAGATGATTACACAGTGTTCTTGCAAAGCTGCCAGCTTGAGCAGATGAAGGCTTCATGGCAGATAAATTTTACAAATAAACAGGAGCGCCATATGAAGTCTAGAGGTTCCTGCTGATGTTGGTGTTGAATTTTGACACACAGCAACTCTGCTGATTCCTGATCTTTCTCCCTTTGGTATTTTCTTTTCTTACAGGCCATCAAACCTTCTCCTGGACCAAAGTAACATTGACATTACTACCTTCCGCACAACAGGTGACTGGCTTAACGGTGTCCGAACAGCACAGTGCAAGGAAATCTTCACAGGCGTAGAGTACAGTTCTTGTGACACCATAGCCAAGATTTCTGCAGAGTAAGAATAAGTTTTTGACTGAATGATTCTGAACTTTCTAGTGGACATATATGTCTTGAATTAATATATTTAAAGAGTAAATGAACCTCTAAGGTACTTAACTTTCTCCTGAACCCACTGAACTGGATCCTGGGTCTCTTTGTCAAGGACGCCTTCTAAATCGATGTGTTGATATGTGTTCCTCCCTCACGCTTGGTCCCCACAAAAGCTATCTTCATTGAACTGTAACCTTCAGATAAACCACCAGATATACACCCACATCCCACCCAAACAGACCCAAGTCTCTAATTTAGAGCATAAGCAGATATAGCATGATGACTTGTATATCCTTGCATTTGTGATTTTCTATTATTTTTTAACAAAGCCTGTTAAAGCATCCGCCTGCAATGCGGGAGACCAGGGTTCGATCCCTGGGTTGGGAAGATCCCCTGGAGAAGGAAATGGCAACCCACTCCAGTATTCTTGCCTGAAGAATCCCATGGAGAGAGGAGCCTGGTGGGCTATAGTCTATGGGGTCACAAAGAGTCGGACACGACTGAGTGACTTCACTTTCACTTTCACTAACCTTTGTGGAAATGGAAATTTGAGAACTGGTTAGATAATCTGATATACAGAGAAACATGCCAAAGTCTAAAAGTAGTTCTCAAAGATACTAAATAAACAACTTATATTATAGTATCACCTATTCTTAAGTGATCTCATGGTAGAAAATAAAGTTGTAAGCAAGTTTAAGACATAATTTTCCTTAAAAAGGTTTATCATCAGTTTGGAAAGAGAGAAATGCACAATTGATAAATATTAATTACTTTTATTTTATAATTTCATGTGTTAAAAGCCAGTAGGAAATGACAACCCATTCTGGTATTCTTGCCTGGAAAATTCCATGGGCAGAGGAGCCTGGCTGGCTATAGTCCGTGGGGCCACCAAGAGTCAGACAGGATTGAGCACACACACAAATATATATCTTAGGGATCTTGTGGTCCAATAGGGATCCTTTGGTAATAGGACTTCTTTGATATGAGAAACCCATGGCCTTAAGGAGAAGGGGTTTACAAGGAATTAAATTAACCCAGTGAATAATCCATAAAAGTCATACTCATTCACCAAGTTTGTTAACTGGAAATAGGAAGTGAAAAACTGGAAGCCATATTCTTCATCACTCTGTGAATGAGACAGTTGACTTCACTTTCTAGTGAGACTGTGTAATTTTTCTTGTTCTATAGAGTGACTTTTTCTGTATCCCCATGCACATAGATAAAAATGACTCTCTCAGTCCTAGATCACACAACCTTGGTATGTCATTCAACTGACCAGGGTCCAACTCACTTTCTTCTAAGTCCCCAGGAGAGACGTTCTGAAGGCCTCAGTCCTGCTTATAGACTGGCTTCTCCAAAGACATGTTTGCCATGAACTAATCGTTTCATTTCAAAGGAGGTGGAGTGAGATAGCATGAACTTGGCTCTAGGCGTTCTTTCCTGAGGGTGACATAAAGGACTGCTCCAAAGAAAGAGCTTTTGTGTGGAACAGATGCATCAAAATTGTCCACAATTTTGTAGCTTGTAAAGTCTCTTTGGAAACTGTATCCATCTTTGAGTCAAACTCTTCTACCTTTTGATCTTTATTACATTAAATAGATCCTTTAGTGCCCTCAACTTCCTGTAAGTCATATCCAATATTTGAATATTCAAATGTTATTCAGCATCTAAGGACTTTGTCATCTTGTCAATCATTTAAATAAAGTCACCCTGGAAAGCTATAGATTAGATGCCAAAAGGAAGTGTGTAATGTAATTAAGAGATACAAGCACCTAACAAATAGGTGAAGGAGTTTACCATTAATAGTATAGCATCCTTGTCAGAAACACAGACATCACAAAAGGAACTACAGAAAGGGTATATTATACTGAAGAGGTGAATTTCTTCTTAGAATATAAACTCACACTCGTCTACTTAATCTGTGCTAGCATTCTTGTTATTATTTATTGAATAGACTTCTGACCCAACTGACAATGTTCTTTGGGTTTCTGTGATAGTTATTTTAATCAGACACAGCCCCAGGATATGTTAATGTATTTAAATATTTTTAGAAATTCTTATTCTAGTAATGTAAATAGTTTGGGTTGTGATATACAAGACACCTGCTTTAGAGCACAGAAGCATAGTAAAGAACAAACACAAAGCTAAAAATTTCTGCACCATTGCCAGATTTTCAAAGGCAAAGCTATACAAATGTTTATTCTCAATAAAGTATCAACATTCAGAGCTTTTAGATAATGAAACGGTATACTGAAGTGGATGAGGCAGAACCTTGTTAATATGATTAACAGTGAGCTCACAATTTAAATATAGTCAGATATTCTAATCTGCAAATGTAGACAAAATGCTATTTGTTTAAAAAGGTGAAGTGGCAGCCTTTGTTATACTTTCACCTTAGGAATATGTTTGTCTCTGGTACAGCATTGGATAGTAAGCTCTTTTTAGGCTGGCTGGAATATTTTCACTTAGTGGTTATGATTATTTAAACAAGTTGTGAGTCTATATGCAAGATGAAAGCTGATTTTTCAGGATACTCAGCTTTTTCATATTTTCCCCTTCACACTGAGCCAGTTGGTTTCAGATCTCTCTGTATTTCAAAGTGCTTTCTTCTGTCCTTTCTTCTCAATTTAGGATCAACATAAAATTAACATCTATTGACCTAAAACTCCTTGAAAAGTGTCATTGACTTCTTGGTTCTCTGTAGTCTCTATCTCATATGCCACCTTCCTTGTTTATATCACAAATGTAAGAATTTAAAAATATTTAATACATTAATCATTTAGGGAAATATAGTGAGGCAACATTTTCATCTTCAATGCAATAAAAATATTTAACTCTATATTTCATCCTTTCTTTTTCACTCTTAGGTATATGGCTTGAATTTGATTCCTTCCAATCCTTATTTTCTTGGTGTTGTCCAGACTCAATTCAGAAATGATTCCCTTGACCAAATAACTTTAGAGTTTCTTTTAGACTAAGACTTTCAGATTATTACCTAAGAAAGGACATTAAATTTGTTTTCTTTTTCTATCCAAACTATCAATCACAGGACAAGTGTTTCATACTCAAATAAATGTTAGCTTATTCCAATTAGTTTAGAGATTTCATTTACATGCCAAGTACCCAAGTTACCTAATTTTCAAATAAAAGTTTTTAAACATGTGGTCTTATTCAGTCAACATATTTTTAAAAAATATTACTTCATAGCCTAGGATGGATTTAGGAAGGTTAATGTGAGGAGGGAAGAGAGAATAAGAAAGGGCAAGAGTTATTAGAGAAACTGGAAAGAGAATTAAGGTGTGGAATGAGTATGAGGCAGATTAATTGCTGCCTGTCATTACCCTGCACCCTTGGATGCCATTTTCAAAGTGTCATCACCTATCCTTTTGCCTTTGAAGTACCAGATAGCTTATTAACCTCTGGTCTCAGTCTTCAACTGCTCTTTAGTCTTGAACTTTTCCACTGCTCTTCTCAATAGGGTAGTCCTAATGAGATAAGGATACGGAGAGTGTTACTGAGACTACAGCAGCTGGATGTTTAGAGAGATTTTGGTCATGGCAGGGTGGTAAGTAGAAGACATTTTGATGGGGTGAAGAGAGAAGAGCCTACATAAAAGCTCAAGCTAAGGCATAACCTACAGGGATGCTTACTGTAATTCTCTTTTCCAGTATAATCCTTTGCATTAAATAGAAACAAGACTACATATCAACTTGCTTACACTGGGTTCCCAGATGCTGAATCTGAAACAGTTTTATGCAGATTTCTTCATGTACCCTTGGGACATACACTCATAAAGAAGTGATGAGGAGGCATTGGACTGAAGAAGAAGACTCAGTTCTACCCTTGTTGGAACAAGAGTCCTAAAGCTGGGCTGGTCCTTCAGATTTGTCCCAAATTGGTCTGTGAACTTGCAGTATCTGATTTTTTCCAGTGGCCAGAGAATCAGTGGTTCAGTTCTAGAGAAGAAATCAGAGTTAAGCATCATAGCTTGTACTACTCCCTCATTATGCTGAAATTTATCAATGACCTCAGGAAAATTTAGTATATTACCTTGGAGCATTTTTTCTATCTTCCCATGATTGCCTTTTGTTTTTAAGCTTATAAAGAAGGCAGAAAAGGGGAGACATAGAAAAAAATCAGCAAGGTATAATATGTATGTTATATGTATATATGTATATATATATATATACAGAGAGAGAGAGAGAGAGAGAATTGGAAGAAAGATGAGAGAAGAAATATAAAAACAGAATCTATTGATTTATACACATATATTTATGTCTGTCCTATTTTCTGGCTCTTAGATTCATAACCTGACTTTGTAATAGTTTGAGGATGAGTAGAGAAATGTTTGTTGTTCATTTTAAAGATAGATCCCTGGTATCTTTATAAAAGAATCAAAATCCTGTAGAGCATGCATTCTCAAAAGCAGGGTTCAACATAGATAACCTAGGTGTGGGAAGGGACAGGGAAGCCTGGCTTGCTTCAGTCCAGGAGTCCAAAAGAATTGGACATGACTTAGCAACTGACCACCACCACCACTCAAAATGAAGGTTTCATTATCCACAGTTATACAAAGGGCAGCAAGCTAGATGTCAGCATAGCTCCCCACTAGCCTTCCTGTTGAAGCAAGGTAGCTCAAGACTGTGACCAGAGAGGACCTCAGGCAAAACACAGGCTGTCCTTAGAGAATTTATTAGCCCCTTAAATGGCAGCAGGGTTCAGAGGTAACCTGTAGGGCATTGTGATTTCACTTCCAGCTTAGATAATAGGAATGCAACTGAGCTTTGATTAATTTTATGCAGCAGATGCTTAAATAATATGTAAATGGCTTCTTAAGTGGTTGCCTATTGTCTGCTTGCACACCTGTATTGCTTGGGAACTCACTTTTTAACAAATCACTTGGTACAATTCTATGTAGTTAAATTCCCAATTTTTCATTCTTTCTTTAATGCTCAATATAAAGGAGCCCCACCTTTGTGCGCATTTGCGTGTGTGTGCTTTTTCTTCTTGCCATTTTCAATTTGCCTAGCACTCCAAGTTGCACTTAATCCTCTGTCAACTTCCGAAATAAATATATTTTGGACAACTGATTTATTCTTTAGTAAGCACATATTGAGCCCTTGCTAAATGAGAGTGATTGTTTACGGTGTGTTTGATAAGCATAGTACAAAACCCACAAGAATCCTTGTTCACATGAAATTCACTTTCTTGTGAGACAAGATAGAGAGTAAAAAAATAAATAAACCAAAAAAAAAAAAAGGGCAATATTCTGGATGGTGATAAATACTTTGGAAGAAAATGAAACAAGAAAAGTAATAGAAGTGCAGATATGAGTGCAGAGAGGTTTTACAATATGAAGTAGGAGCATCAGGGAAATCTCATGAGAGAGGGATATTTGAGTCAAAACCTGAAAGAGGTGATTGTATGAACTAATTACTTAAATCAAGAATGTTTAATTAATTATTTGCACATGTCTAGCTAAGTCTTCCCTCTCCTCCACAAATGAAGTTCCATGTATTCTTATAATATTTATTTCAATTCCTGGTTTCCAAGTATTAACTATTTTAAATTCAATGATTTTGTTAGAGAAATATCCTTGCCATTTTTTTGTAATTTGAAAGAACTTTATACTTTAAAGAAATTATTTCAGTGATCTATGGCTGAACAACACACTTCCCCAAACTAAAAGGCTAAAACAACAAGGATTTTTTTGTACACACAGTGTCATGAGTCATGAATTTGGGTAGAGCTCAGGTGGGTGATTCTTCACGTCTGGTGCTAGAGTTGAATGAAGTATTCAACTAACATGAATCTGATCTAGTCTGGAGGGCTTGAGATGGTTTCATTCTTCTTTGCCCTGGTTCAGATGCTACATATACCTAGGACTGTAGACCAAGTGCTTACTGGTGACCTCTTCAATGCTGCTGCTGCTGCTGCTGCTGCTAAGTCGCTTCAGTCGTGTCCGACTCTGTGCGACCCAATAGACGGCAGCCCACCAGGCTCTCCCGTCCCTGGGATTCTCCAGGCAAGAACACTGGGTTGCCATTTCCTTCTCCAGTGCGTGAAAGTGAAGTCGCTCAGTCGTGTCTGACTCAGTGACCCCATGGACTGCAGCCCACCAGGCTCCTCCGTCCATGGGATTTTCCAGGCAAGAGTACTGGAGTGGGATGCCATTGCCTTCTCCGGACCTCTTCAATGGGTAGTCATATTTTTCCACTGGCAGCTCTGGGGCCTAGAAAGGGTGCCTCAGGAGATAAGAAGTAGAATCTGTTAGTTGCTAAATAACTGAATGCAGAAACTGATACACTGTCACTTTAAACACAATCTATCAGTCAAGTCAATCCCCAAGCTGGCCCTTACATGGTGAAGTTCCAGATGGACAGGAATTTTGAGGGGAATACTATTCAACACACTTCCTATGTTCAACGTACAACCTGTATTCTTCCACAAGGATAACAGTGGAGTTATCAGGATATATAATATTACATATATGTTACAAAAATCAGAAAATTATGCCTAGAGCATTGGGACCTGTAATTGTACAAGCTTTGTTAATTGAAAATATCCTATTTACATACTGTCCAGCAGGCCATGATTCTCACCAGAAATTTTCTCCTTTTTTTAGCAGCGACATGAAAAAGGTCGGTGTCACTGTGGTTGGGCCACAGAAGAAGATCATCAGTAGTATTAAAGTTCTAGAAACACAATCCAAGAATAGTCCAGTCCCAGTGTAAAGTGCTATTTCTGGAAGAAAGTGGAAAATGTGGCATCGCTCTGCAGACTTGATGACAACACTGGAAATACTGGTGGACATTCCAAGCCCAATAAGACACTCAGATACGAGTAAAATGCCTTAAAATGGAATTCAAAAACTCCTTATTTTCCCCTGTTGTTTAGTGGATGGGTGGGTGGGTGTATTTTGTTTTTTAATTGCTTTTTTATATTAGTTGATGGATTAAATCAGAATTCTTCAGTGCAAAATGACAAAGAACTAGCCTAGAGCCATTGATCATAAACTGACTCTCATAAAAGCTAAACAAATGAAATAGCGCAATGAACATGGTGGCTGTGCTTCTGAATAGCCACAAGAGAACAGACTTGTGATATTTTTATACCCAGAAGAGATCTGTAACAGGTATTTTGTTTCTTTGAAAGCAAGCAAAATAGAGGAATTCATACCTCAAATTATCCGGCCATATTTACTACATTTTCATTGTATTATTCTCTTTTATCTGTTAAAAAGCATATAGAAATGAAGTTTGTAGTTGTTTTAAGTACTACACATTTTTGATTGGTAGCCTTCCTAAGTATTATCATGTAAAAATGTGTTTTAATTTTGAAGAAAAGTACATATTTATTTTCTTTTGAATTGTCTTTCATTGTTTTCTATTTATGCCTTGATGATTTAACTTGGATTTGTGACAGCCAAGGGCCAAAAGCTCTCTCAAATTGTCAGCAGCAGAAAACATGATAAACTAGACACAGAAAATGTTGTGTTTCTTTCCAGATTGTTTGAATCATACACTCATATGTATCTATATCTAGATGTAAAAAGAAACAAAACCCTTTCCTCATTCATACACTAACCAAATCTCTCACAGTCTGAATTATTCCACCCACTTTTGTCTCTCTGTTTATTATAAACTGCGTGCTCCTAGTTTAGTGTGATATACCGACTTGTGTGTAATGGATTTTCAATGACATACCTGCCTTGCTCCGGTGCTTAGGAGACCATAAACTCCCTCCTTTGGTAAAAGAGCTATATTAGAGTTCCTGAGTAGAGAATGCTACACTGGAAAGGATTGGGATGCTATTTAGGTTGCTGTATTAATTGGCAATGTAGCCTATAAGCTGCCTATAAGCTGATGCATGAATCAAAGAGATCACTGGCTGACTGGTTTTGAAATACCACTTTATACATTTGCTTAAACTTGTTGAGCTGATTATAGGGAATAAGGATTACTAAACTACTCATCTGCATCACTGAGCTTTTGCTAAATTATTGAAACATTGTCATCATCAATAGCAAGTATTATTATCTTTGAGTCTCCAGTGAAATGCACCTATTATAGTTTTGGTATATATCTTAGAAACATTGAACTTCTTGACACATTGAACAGATAATCTTCAAAACAGCTGGTTGTCCAACAAGACTCAAAATCTGAAGAGATCTCTTCTTGCAGAAACTTGGACTTGCTATTCCATAAAGGTCAAATATGAGCATACTCTGTAATATTTGAAGTATATACCTGGTGGAGATCTAGCCATAATAGATGGTGGAGCAATATTTTAGCTCTATCTATAATCTTTCTAATGCTGATATGATCATGTTATTGGAATAAGAAATGCATATGTCACAAGAATAGAAGGGATAAAACAATGCTGCAACCTTTATGTTCTTATGCAAAATGGAACACTTATACAGTTTATAATCACAGATCAAATTTCACAAGTGCTAATCTGTTGTAAATTTAGTGTAATAAGGCTTATGTTATATTCCTTCATATATAAAATTATTTCTCAAATGTCTTCAATATTCTTATAATCAAATCATCTTACTAGAATTATGTATTGGGTGTATAAGAGCATGAACCTTTTAAAAAGATATATATGATTATGAAATTAATTACAAATTTCACTTAAGCCTGCTAGAAACAGCTCAAAATCATTTTTTAAGCAAACATTTTGTTTTGTGGAATGTTAGATTGAGATCTGAATCTGGCTTCAATCTCATTTTTTTCCAGACTAGCGTTTACTTTCTTAGGTACTATTCTGTGCATACTCCACAAAATCTGTGCATTTCATGAACTAGGAGAAGTTGAGGATTGTTTAATCTATTTCATTTATTTTGGCTGTGGTTTCCATTTGAAAGTGGAAATTGTATATGCAGTATATTGCTCTTCATTTTTCACTATTTTTCTATCTGACTTCTTATAAATTTACTTTTCACAATCCTTACCCTGTACATATGTAAACATAACAGTGTACGATTCTTAACTGTGGAGTAGAGGTACTAGAATGCTTATGGCCATCTCTTTGTACAGAAACTGCGTTGGCTTTCAGTAAATGTGAAACCACAATTGCTTCATAATATCAGGTACCATATTATCTGATTGTATCTTAAGTTTGATTTACATATTTATTTCTGGTAACTTGCCCATGTTAAGCTGTACTAAGTATCAAATAAGCCATGTATAAATGTGATATGATTGACAATATGTGTGTACTTTAAATTTTCATTTTCAAAACATTACTCATTTAGTCTATGTTGTACAATGTAGATGGCCTCTTACTAATGTAAAATGATTTGTAGTGGAAACATTTATATTTTTATAATAAACATAACGAAAATATTTTTTACAGATTTGAATATGGAAGTGGTCTTTGAACCTTTTTAAATATCATAAAAATGTGCTTGTTTAAACAGCAAAATAATGAAATTTATGTAAGTCAAGAAGAATGTGCTTTTGTTTCTTTTTTCTCCATTAGTGAGGAAGAGATATATGTTATGTTATCCATAGGCATTACCGAGGCATGACTGTATATCTGTTAAAATACTGCTCTAGTTGATATAATTTTACATTGTAATTCCTGTGAGATAATTGCTTTCCCTCTATTGCTCCAGTAGAAATCATGGAGACTTTCTTGACTTAGAAATGCTGTCTGAATCACTTTGGATGGGAGAATGAATGACATAGATTCATACCAGCTCCTAGTCCCAAGCCTGCTCTTAAAGATTGTGGATAGGATCCCATAGAATTGATGTTCCATAGGGACTAAAGGTGTCAGAGAAGTTTATGTCCAAAAGAAAGTCAGAATATCACTTATGAAAAAAGAAGAAAGGAATTCTGAATGGGTCAGATAAAACAAAAATGAGAAACACCCAATGAGCTGAAACTTCAAATAATATTCTAAGAAACACTTAAAACTTTGAATAAAGTAGATCCCTAATCATTTGGAACTTATTTAAAGAAAATGATTATATATGAAAATCATTGCTAACTCACAATATGAGGCAAGATAAGTGATCAAGATTTCCATAGAGGTAGTCAAAAATAGATCAGATTTGAGTTTTCCTTGAAAGAGAAATAGCATTCAATCTTGTTGAGAGGAAGAAGAATAATGTGTAAGCAGGAGATAAAGGAAGGAGGTAAAGAGAATATATTTAATTCAAGATATATATTTTAAGCACTGTTATGAGACAGGTGTTTTCCTGTCACCATTTACAAATCACTTCATTAAATTTTTCAACAATACTGTGAATAGATTTTGTCATGTTCAGATGCGCAGTTGTGTCTGACTCTTTGAAACCACATGGACTACAGCACACCAGGCTTCTCTGTCCTTCATCATCTCCCAGAGCTTGCCCAAACTCATGTCCACTGAGTCAGTGATGCCATCCAAAAATCTCATCCTCTATTGTCTCCTTCTCCTCCTGCCTTCAATCATTCCCAGCATCAGGGTCTTTTCCAATGAATCAGCTCTTTGCATCAGGAGCCTAAAGTATTGGAGCTTCAGCTTCAGCATCAGTCCTTTCAATGAATATTCAGGACTGATTTGCTTTAGGATTGACTGGTTTGATCTCCTTGCTGTTCAAGAGACTCTTAAGAGTCTTCTCCAGCAACATAGTTCGGAGGCATCAATTCTTTGACACTCAGTCTTTATGGTCCAACTCTCACACCCATACATGACTACTGGAAAAACCATAGCTTTGACTATACAGACCTTTGTAGGCAAAGTAATACCTCTGATTTTTAATATGTTGTCTAGGTTTGTCATACCTTTTCTTCCAAGGAGTAAGCATCTTTTAATTTCATGGCTGAAGTCACTGTCCACAGTGATTTTGGAGTCCAAGAAAGTAAAATCTGTCACCATTTCCATTTTTCCCCATCTATTTGTCATGAAATGATGGGACCAGATGCCATGATTTCATTTTTTGAATCCTGAGTTTTAAGCCAGCATTTTTACTCTCCTCTTTCACTTTCATCAAGAGGCTTTTTAATTCCTCTTCACTTTCTGCCATAAGGGTGGTGTCATCTGCATATATGAGGTTATTGATAGTTCTCCCTCCAATCTTGATTCCAGCTTGTGCTTCATCCAGCTTGGCATTTTGCATGATGAATTCTGCATAGAAGTTAAATAAGCAGGGTGACAATATGCTGTCTTGATGTACTCCTTTCCCAATTTTGAACCAGTACTTTGTTCCATGTCCGGTTCTAACTGCTGCATCTTGACCTGTATACAGGTTTCTCAGGAGGAAGGTCAGGTGGTCTGGTATTCCCATCTCTTTAAGAATTTTCCACAGTTTGTTGTAATTTACATAGTTAAAGGCTTTAGCATAGCCAATGAAGCAGAAATAGATGTCTTTCTGGAATTCTCTTTCTTTTTCTACCATCCAACAGATTTTGGCAATTTGATCTCTGATTCCTCTGCCTTTTCTAAATCCAGCTTGTACATCTCGAAGTTCTTGCTTCAGATACTGCTGAAGCCTGAAGGATTTTGAGCATTTCTTTGCTAGCATGTGAAATGAATGGAATTGTGTGGTAGTTTGAATAGATTTATCTACTTTTAATAGACGATAGAATCAAGGCTCCAAATGTCCAGGTCATCTTTCCAAAGTCATCCCAGTTAATAAACAGATATTTCAAAATGGGATCTTCTTATTCTGTGTTTTTTCTGTAATATAATTGTTACTGTAATCCCTGATATACTCTGGGGACAGTGACAGGGTCCA